AAAGTATCACTTATCTGTATCTCACATATACAATTGTGTAAGTATATGAGGAGTCCTTGAAGTTTTTTTTTTAACTGATTATGGGAGTTTGCCAAATAAATACTTATTCAATCTAACAAGACCAGACCAAATATGTTGACAAGCACTTTTTAAGGCTCCGTTTGATTGATAGGAAGAATCGGTTGAAATGGACAAGAATAAAAAGAAAGGAAATGGAAAATTTCTAGTTAAAGGTCTGTTTGATAAGTACTAAAATGAAAAATAAATTCATGAAAAATTTTATGATTGATTTGATAAAAATGGATTGAAAAATTGTGCAATTTTAGCATTTCACGCTGAATAAAAGAATATAATATTATTAAATAAAAAAAGCTTTTTAACCTTATACTAATGATTTTATTAAAAATATCTAATAATTCAAAAAAATAAATGAATAAAAATATTTTTTGACCGGTATTGATAATAAAAAAATTTCCAGATACCAATAATTCCTACGCAACTTTTAAGAGAAAATTGAATCTTAATCCAAGTAATTATGTATTTAAACTTATTTTCAAGATGAATTAGGTATATCAAAATTAAAGGTGGCACAATGTTACCATTCCACAAAACGTTTGTCAATTTGACAATTCATTGGATAGAAATTGTTAGGCACTGCTGAGTTCTTTGTTCTTTCTTTGGGGTTCTTTTCCGCATGCGACAAACCATTGACAATAAAGTAGAGGACCTGATCAATCACCACTCAAAAATTTGACTTCATTTTATCATTCTGAAACCTTCCTCAAGTTCTTCTAGCAAGAAAATTTCTTCAATTAAAGTATATATTCAGTTCACGTTTTATGGAGCCACTTCCTTTGTTAAGGAGTAGCATACTTAATTATTCCAATTAGTGTTACGGTATTCCTCTAAAAACATGTTGTTTATAACGTTTTTTTAAATCTTTCCCTATGAACTCTGTTATTTCTCAGATTTCCAGTTGTAATTCTGCTCTAAATTGGAGAGGACTCTATATATGTTTTCATACACGAATTGCTGTATATCAGCTTTTGAATATTACTCCTTCATTAACTATTCTCATAAGTTATCTTATTTGATAAAAGCATAGAGATTCGTAAGATCAGGCTTCCATGCTGCATTCGCCTGAAAATAGAGGATTTCAATTTAATAAAAACAAAAAAATCAAGTTAACTTCCTCTTTTTTTTTTTTGGGCCAAAAATTCAACTTCATTGGAGAATCGTATAACATTTTTAGCCAACCTCATTTTTAATATTCAATTGCTTTATTTGTTTTACTTTCTTCTCTCTATTAAGATTCTTGATCAAAACTTAACAACACAATCATACTTTAAATAAGTGGGATTTTTCACAAACAAAAAGTTAAATCATTTTAATTATGCTACATTAAAAAAGAAGCAATCCAAATTTAACAAGGGATCCTAAAATATTTGATAGCATACCATGAGGCGTTCAATATGAAGGCCATGAAGCTCAAACACTCATTCAGTTAGAGGCCCAACAATCCCTCTAGAGCGTGCCTATCAATATTGCAGTAATATACTGCTTTTCTCAAACTAAGTACAGTCCCATCAAAAGTAACTCTTCAGAAATCTTTAAGCATGCTTATAATTTCAAGCAAGTCATAACAGTTTACTAACTTGCAATTTTTCAATAATATACAATCAAGTAGCATAAAAGGATGGGATGGTTTTGCATGGACTCAGAAGCACATATGGGTGACAACCCAACTAATAAACATACAACATTGTGATTTTTTTAATACTGTTTTTAGGAAATATAAATATCAGTCTCCAACAGTCAAAGCTTCTGTTGAAGATGAACTCCTAGCAACAGTGTGGTTTTCTTCAAATTGGATAGACAGGAAGACCATTTGACATCCATATTTTGTAGCTGTTGCTTTGCTTTTATATTTTCTTCCACCATGTGAGACTTTTCTTTCTTCACTTCCTCAAACTCCTTTATGAATCCCATTGTGTCAGAAACACTCTTTTTCTTCTGTTCTTTCAGAGATAACAGTTCCATCTCACACTCTTGAATTTCTTTTTCCTTGCTATACAGTTTAGCCTGAAACTTTGAGATTGTCTTCTTCAACTCTGCTTCCTTTAGCCGAGCCTCAGGCAAATAACTCTCTTTATTGTGAATTTCAGACAGAAGAGCAATTGCTGCTTCTTTTCTCTTTGAACGTTCTTCAATGGCAAGCTTCTCTTTTTCTTCAAGCTTGTTGAATGTGTCAATAGTGGCATAGGCTTTCTTGGAGGAAGATAGAACAGTTTGGATTTCTTGTTGCAGAGAATGAATTGTAGCTTGAAGGCCATGAAAGGGAGCTCCATCTTCAAAACAATGAAAGGACAAGATGTTAAAAGCATTCTCAAGCCGAAGTTTGCCTTCTTCAGAGCAAGCTATTTCACTTAGACTCATCTTCAATGAGGTTCCCAAGTCAGTGAGAGCTTTACTCAGCTCGTTATCATCTTCAAATGCTGCAATTTTGGATCCATAAGGCATGTCAACTTCCATTTCAGCACCTTCCTCCATTATTTGGAATAATCTCATCAGATCATCTTCTGCAAATTGACGACGGTTTCCCTGGTCAAACTTAATTTGATTCTTAATGGAGGTCCCTGGTTGATCCATGATTTTATCCTGTTGAAGTAAATCAAATGAAGCAACCATTATTGTAACCTATAGAATAGAATCCACAACACATTTATGTCTAAACAATAGAAGCACAGTTAATAATTGTTGACCTTCTTAATTAGGTGCATACTGAAAATAATAGTTCATACAAGTTAGTTTATTTATGTATTAAATTGTAATGGTGTTATTTATGTATTAATTAAACTGTAATGAAGTTAATGTATAGTGTCTCTAAAATACGGGACCATTTGCTTCATTAAAAAGGGAACCACCAGTTGATTATCAAATTGTTCTATTCTAGCATTAGTATATACCAGCTTTAAAGAATAAATTCCATCCCGAAATTGATGCAGTAACATGAAGGCTTACTTGTGCAGATTGATCAGTAATAGTAGAGCTGCCTGATTCCATTTCCACGTGAGGAGCTGAAGTTTTTTCTTGAGGCTTTTTTTGGAGAACATATTGAAGAGATCAAAGAGATTAGAGATTATAGAAAGGTTAATCTGAATGAAAATAAATAATGTATCAATAATGCAAATATATTGAAAACCAAGTATTTACCGGTGGAGGGTTCATTCCAGTAATAGAATTTTCTGGAATCATCATTGCCATTCTATTTGATGTTTCTTTGGAAGGGCATTCATTAGTAGGTTCTTCAACTCTTTGAGGAGCTTCATTGGAGCTTCTACTTTCTCCAAGTGCTTGTTGATCACACATTGGTTCCTTTTCACATAACTCCTAAGTAAAGGAATAATCAAGCAACAAGTGATATTTTTAAAGCAAAAAGCTAATGAAACAAACCTACCTTTATAAAAACTGCTGTGCCTAGATTTGAGATTGTTAGCTCAGAATGAGTTGATGAACTTACATTGTAAACCAAATTATCCTGAATGAACATGAAAATGTAAAAACTATCACAAGGTTATGTCGTTTAGGAGCTAACTCAACCCACATCAGGAAGGACTATATTCTTACTATTTATTTTATAAAGGAATAGCAGATGCTATTTGTGATGTATTACTTAATTTTGAATTCATGATTTAATATGCTTTTCTAGCTTCCTCTTATTTTGGTACCTTCTTGAATACTTCGTTTGTTTCTTAAATTTGTTTTAATTAGATTACCCATAGCGTCAACTTTGATAAATGTACAAGTACAAAAGCATTTGTTGAGGAAAGACTCTTACCCTATCAGACTTTGATGGTGGAATTGCTGCTGTATCTGAAGTAGGAATTTGTTCTTCAACAATTTCATCTGTTGATACCTTAGTATTCTGTATAGTTCATAAAATATGAATAAGTTGCTAAAGAAGTTCAATTAATCGAGAAGAAAGTCTTTTATTAATTGAGGAAAAAGCTCAATAAAAATACTACAAATTATTACTATTATAAGACATTTCCATTTCTACATTGCTGCATATATAACTGGGAAAAAAGACTGAGTGTGTGTATATATATAAAACGGTGAAAGTATTAATTGAGAATAACCCTACCACAACTGAGTTAGATGATAGAGTTGTAGAGAGCTTTTCTTCAACAATTTCATTTCCTGATACGTTGGCACTCTACATAGCCCATAAATTATGAATATGTCAGTTTCTAAAATGGTTAAAATAATTAAGAAGCATACAATATATATACATTAATAAAAAGAGAAATTGTTTGTTGGTCTGGGTCACTATTGTCATAGAAAAGCATAATGTACATACCTCTATAAAATTTGACGAATTTGCGGTGCCTTTTTTAGCAATCTCCTTTGATAACTCATTACTCTAAACATTAAAAAAAATGGTATAATAAAAAGAAGGTAAACTGAGCTTTGATGTTATTAATAACTGTAATATATTAAATCTAAACACACAACATAAAAAAAATATCTTGATTTATTTGGAATAAATGGATAAGACAATGAGGTAAGAGAGAATTCATTAGTTAGTTTCTTAAGTATGCTTAGTCATAGGGAAGTATAAACACGTACATTTTCAAAATTTGGAGAACCACTGCTCTGTTGGGGCATTGCTGAGTCATTTCCAACATATTGTGGTTCCTCTTCTTCAATCTGAACAATAATAGAATATATATATATATAAATATATATATTATAACATAAAAATAGTAATCTTTGCCCACAAAATAAGAAAAGTGGGGAAAGTATTGAATTTCTACCAAAATTAGTAGAAGTCTGGCACTAACCTCGCAAGCCCATTCCTGAATAATACCGTATGTGTAGTTGAAGGTCTTTTCTTGTGGAAAAGAATAATCGAGATAATCAAATACTGCACAACCAAAACCACAATTTCGTTATCATTACTATGAGAAGAAATCATATGTAGCAGTTAATGATTTCGATTAACTACGTATATGTGAATACTTACTCTCAGAGGAGCTGACATTAGGTGAAGGGATATTGTTACAATCTTGCACAATACCGATTTTCACAGTTTGGAAATCAATTCCATGATAGATAGTGTGAAGACTTGGTAGTTTTACCAGTCTTATTGCAAGTAAATTTGGAAGCACATCCTTGATGACCAACTCTTGCGGCGCGCCCTGCTTCCATTCAAATACTTGAGCAAGCTCAGGAGCATCTTCTATCTCCAACGTCAAGAGACATGGAAGTTTAGCACATGTAGAGACAGAGAATAAGCATTTCAACTTCTTGCAGTGCTTTACTCGAATATGGCATAGCTTTGGGAAACATGGTTGATGCAGATCCAAAGGATTTTGTTGATTCTCTTCATCATCCTCAATTATGCTCACCAACTCTTCACAGTCTGATATGAATAGCCTTCTCAATTCTGGTATGCTTCTCGTGGTACAAGCAGACAGTATGAACTTCAACTGTTTGCATTTTTCAAATTCTAGAACAGAAAGGTTTTGAAAGCTCAAAGAGATTTTAGGTCCCACATATATATCCCTTAAATCAGCCAACTCTTGCAAGTTCGAAAGTGCCTTACCTTTCTCCTTGAAAGATAATGCCTGTAAGCATACAATTGAGATATGTTAGTCTTAAAGAGTCTCTTTAGGTGATTGATTATAAGCTAGCAAACGGCAGAGAGGTTTACCTTTCTGCTTGAGAGATCTTCTTGTCTTTTGTGTCCACCAACCAAGAAATCTATAAAAGTTTGAGGAAGCTGTAGACATCCTTCAATACTAATATATTCTAGATTTAATACCTCCACGTAATAATTTTCTGTGGAAATACTAACCATATTTGGTAAATCTACAAGGTATATTGTTTTCAAGGCTGGGAGATTAAGTTTACTCTGAACATTATGATTCTGATCAGCATGACATTCTCGAAATACATATTTCATCTTTTCTGCCTTCCCGATGCTCACATATCCCAACTCCTTAAAGTCTTTTGAATAAAAAGCTGGGAATAAAAATTCCAAATTGTTACAGCTCCAAATATAGACTTGTTGTAAGTTAGGAAAGATAGAGTGCACATTCATATGACCTTGACCATTAGGCCCCTCGTCTGTTATAATATGTTCCAGTGCATCACACTCCTTGACATACAATGTTTCCAAGAACTTCAGTGATGAGGCAATGGATATGGTAAAGAGTGATGTTAACTTGGAAAATCCAGTTATCTCAATCCCTCTCAAATTGGATTGAGATAATGGTAGTGGAAAATATCCAGAAGCTGTACTTGGCACGTGCTTCGATTTGGATGCCTTGGTTAAATACAAACATGTTAATTCATTTTTTCCTTTTTCCTGGTAAATACATATGAATTCTTCTTCAATAAACTAATAAAGAACATTTTAGTATGTTGTTATATTTAAAAAAAAATAGAAAATACTTTTTCTGGTTCTTTACAGAACTTGTGAAACCAAGAAGAATTCAGGAGAAATTTTATTCAGCTTTTCTAACAACTTATAATATATAAATATTTTGAATTTCTCCCCTAATTTTTCTCATATTGTAAACAAAAGAAATGCTCGCTTTTGATATAAATTGAGCTCAAACTGAAATTTCTATCTTTTGCTTTTCTATTATTTTCTATTTAAACAAGGAAAAATTGCAAATAATGGCCATAGAAAATATAAAATTGCAATTTGGATTCTTCAAATCCTAAAATTGTTGTCAAGAACTGGCTCTTAAATATAAATTAGCAAATATTGTATAAAAAACCAAATTGCCCTCCTACTTAGATTGTTACTTGAAATACTTAACTTGTAATTTCTAAAATTGTACTTATTTTTTCGTAGTACAAATTTATTATTTGAAATACTTCACTTGTAATTTTAAATGCTATGCTTGTTATTCCCAATAGTTCACTTGTTATTTTCAATAGGAAGGCAACTTGGTCTTATACTCAATATTTCATAATTCAAATTTAAGATGAGGTCCCTACCAATAACTTTTTGAATTCAAAAATCCAAATTGCAATTTTATATTTTTCAAAATCTTTATTTGTGATTTTTTCTTTAAACAATTACCTAGAAGCCAAAATTATATATTTTAATCTATACGGCATCAACTTTTATAATAAAAATTATAAAGAATGTAAATTTCAACATTCTAAATACTTCTGCAAATGAAAAAGTAAAATAACAAGAAAAAATTGAACAATATAAATGTTTTAAAGTGGAAGTCAGAGGTGAAAAAGTAACCTACTACTAACATAAGGCATATTTTTGAACAAGCCATCAAAATCAATAATATATGTGTCTATACACACACAAAAAGCTACCACAAGTAGAAATCTTCACACAAAAGAATAAATTTTCTCTACTTAAATATTCACAAACTGAAAAAAAATAGCAGGAAAGAGGTTTACCTTTTCCTTTGAGAGGTGATCTCTTTTTTGCACATCAATGGATAAATCTATAACATTATTTATGGGAAGTTGTGGGCAGTTTTTCAAACTTATATCTTGTAGAGATAATGCCTTCACAGAATACTTTTTGGTGCAAATACTCACCATATTTGGCACATCATGAAGGCTTAGTCTTTTGAGATCTAGGAGATTAAGTTCAATATGAACATTACGCCTTTGATTGGAATGACATTTTCCAAACACATATTTCAACTTTTCAGCATTGAAGACTTCAACTTGCTTTAAGTTGGAAAAGATACAACAATCATTCATATGACTGTAAGCATGCCCCTCATCTGTGACTATGTGCTCCAGTTCACCACATTTACTGATTGTTAATTCTTCTAACAATTTCAATGATGAGGCAATCGACAGGGTAAGAAGTGACTTCAACTCAGAAAATCCCTCTACACTCATCTTTCTTAAATTCTTGTATGGACATAATGAAGGTGTAAAAAGTCCACTAGCTTTACCGAGATGTTTCTCCTTTAATGCCTATGTTACATTAAAATATTTGTCAATATGTTATTACATTACAAAATCACAATCATAGTAACCAAAAAAAAGTGAGACAAAGTACCTGAGTAAGGTTCAATTGATTGGCCCTGAAAAAAGATAGTTCATTGATGCTAAAGGCACTTGCTTTTGAAGATAAACGACACAGAGGGCCCCATGATTTCTGCACTTGAGAAGACTGTGGGAGATAATATTCTGGATATATGTTGATGAATTTGGGTACGTTTGCAATTTCTATTTCTTGTAGTGAGGGGAGTATGGTTTCCTTTTCCATTTGACGCATACCTCCCTCCTCTAAACATTGCCGAAATATGAATTCTAGCTTATTACAACCACGGATTTTCACACTTTCTAGCTCTTTGCAAGGAAAAATTGGCAATATAAATTCCAACTCATGACATTCTTCAATGTTCAGAGACCTCAATTTCGGGAACATTGAGTGATGGGTCTTTTGATTACAATCATGATGATCGTCCACTTTTTGCTCTGCAGATCTCTTATCATCACTTATTAGGCATTTCATCTTTGAGCATCCGCTTATGTCCAAATTTTCCAGTTGCTTTAGACTTTGAGCTGTGGATAGACAGAAAAGATATGTCATCGAACAACCATTTAACTCTATAGACTTCAAACTACTTAGCTCTAGCTTGCCCTTCAATAGTGTGCCGTCTATTTCAGCACAACCACTTATGCATAGCTTCTCTAGTTGCTTGAGAAAGTCATTAGGAAAATCACCATGACATAATTCCCTCACACACATGTTAGAAAGTCGTAGCTCAACTAAGTTTGAGAAGATGGTTGCATGAGATTGAATTCCACTTGTATTGATGAGGCATTGTATTGCAGGCCAAGATTTCAAAGAAAGCCTAATTAAGCCATTCATGCCTTCATCTTCTTGAGGATCAACTATGTCAGGAATAAGGTTTGTCCATCTTGTATCATTACATTCTGTTAACTCAAGAATCTCTGCTCTTGCTGCCAGGGATTTGATTGTGCTTTCAGACAAGATCCCTTTTAACTTGGTTGAATTGAAATATCTTTTTGTTGAAGCATCCAATTGAAAAGAACGCTGGTAAGAGTAGTTGCCTTCTACATGATATATTCTAAATTCTTGATCAAGATCTATAATTTTAGAAGGCTTTGGATTAATTTTAAGAGTGTCATGATTTGAAATATAATACAATACTTCAAGTTTGAGCATCTCCCAATCACTTCAAACGGGTTATTCTTTTCGATTGAACAATCTACCAAGCCTAGCAACCTCAGTTTCTCCTGTTGGCTAACTTCATTTGGCAATTCACTAATTGAACAATTTGTCAATTCAAGAGTTTGGAGTTTTTTTAGGTTTTGCAAAATAGATATATCACCCAACTCCCAATTTGTTAGGGACAGTGTTTGGATATTTTCAAGTGAATGAATTGATTTTGGTAGTGACAAGGCCAATGTTCTCCGAAACTTAACCTTAGAACACAAAAGCAAAACTCTAAGTCCCTTCATACCTCCAAAGAATGCCTCAGGAACTCCCAAAGAATGACTTGCATTATTTACCCATACTAAAAGAACCTCAAGATTAATGCCCTCAAAAGAGTTGGAAAAGTCATCTATCATCCAGGATGAATATTTTACATTCTCCTTCAATTTACTTTTAGAATCCATGATTACTTGAATCTTTTCATCTCCTATTTGATGGGCTATATCACGAATCACATCGTGCATCTTTACAAATCCTTCTCTAGTAGTGAGCAATAAAGTAGAACGTACGAGTGTGGTTTTGATTGAAAGCACTTCACTTCTTGCTCTATAGTAGCTGCCAACATTTTCACTCAGCCCTGAACCTATAGCAATTCTGCTTAAAACCTCTACTGGTATTTCATAAGCTCTTGGGAATATAGAACATAGCAGGATGAGATCTTGCGCTCCTCTATCTAGACACTTGAAGCTTATTTTCAGAGAATTGTAAAACTTTTTCACTTCTTCATCAGTGTTCCCATGCCTTAAGGATGAATCTTTTTCTATTACTGCAAAAGCATCCTCCCATTCATTTGGATCCCAATTTCTAAAGGTTCGTGCAACTGCTACAATTACAACTGGTAAGTTTCCACACTCAATCACAACTTTTGATGCTAGCAACTTCAATTTATTAGGACAATCCTTCCCATTTTCAGTGGCATGATGTAGGAAAAGATTCACTGCGTCTTCCTCAGGTAAGAGCCCTAGTTTAACAGTCTTTTGGCAGCTCATTCTTCTACAAATTGTCTCATAACGTGTGGTTAGCAAGACACAACACCGGCCCTGGCTATAGATGCCATGGTGAATCCCTATGTTCTCAAGTTTGAGCTCTTCCCAGACATCATCAAGTATTATGAGTACACTTCCAGCATTAGTGATTCTGATCCATATTTGTTCTGCGTGTGTTAAATCCTTGCCATCCTCCAACTTCAACTCCAATTTTTTTGCAATTTCATCTTGAATCTTCTTTTCGTCAACAGGATTAGGCACTTCAATGAAGACAACTTTATCAAATGCCTTTGAATTTTCAAGTTCCTTACCAATTGCTTTTGTCATTGTGGTTTTCCCTGATCCTCCCATTGCTTGCAATCCAATCCTATGTATATTGTCATTTTTCAGCTCCTCCCTAAGTTGTTCATAAACTAAGTTTCTACTCTTAAAATGCATAAACTCTTGTGAATAGAACTCCATGCCTGGAGGTCCAGCTGCACGTGCAACTTGTGAGAAGTTCTCAGCTTTCTCCATTATTGTTGGAATCTCTTGCATGATGCGCTCTAATTTCTTCGCCAGTGAATATTGCGAAAACCAATCATTACAGAAACCAAACCATTTCTTTGGTCTTGTTTCTTGCTGAATGAAGTTGTTGGCTTTTCGAACCCAATGCTTAACTAAAGGGTCAATTTGAGTTTCATTCCTTCTTTTGGCTTCTTTTATCTTCATGTCCACACTCTCCACTGCAGCTGACAATTCTCCTTTTTTCTCTTCAAATTCAGCTGCATAACTTTTGTAACAACACAAATATGGAAGTTCCTTTGTTACTTTGTCTACCAATATATCAGTACATTTTGTTGCAGCAGCACTACTGGCAGCAATCTCCGCCATCTATCATACATAATGAGATTACAATTACAAAAACAACAAGGTCATATCGCGATACCTCAGGCACAACTATACTATGATCCAATATTTAGCATAAAAAACAAATTATAGTAATCAAAATCTTAGTACTTGTATAGTGCACAAAATTTCGTAACCTCTATGTTTTAGATGAAACAATCCAATATAAATATGACAGGGAAGTTAGTTTGACAATCCATTGCACTCACAAAATGTTATGAGCCTCAAGCCTTAGAAGAAAGTTCGATTTATAAATCTAAAGAGCTCTCTCTTCTAACAAGTTATTGTAGTCTTTTAGAATGTGCTCCATAACATTGCTAGGTTGATACAAAAATCTGAAGTCACTATAAATTAGAAAGAAAAAAGTGGTGAGAATTAAAAATATGTAAATATATGTATTTGTTTCTTTTGTCAGTTTATGTAGTAGGTTTAAATGGAAATATCTAATAACATGAACATTTTTTACCTTAATAAATAAATTTATTATGTTAGCATAATATCAGAACTTATTTCTAGAGACCACAAATCAAAAATTGGAAAACTCAATAACCATAAATCTTATTGGTTTCTCCAAAAGCCACACCCACACCAATAGAATGCCGTTGCAAATAATTTGATTTCCGCATATGACTCTAAATTTTACAATAAAATACTTCAACCTTTAATCTATTACATTTTGTCTTGCTCACATGATTTTCCATCATCTATTGTGATAACATACACTTAAATTTCAAAAGATACTTTTTAATTAAATTTATATTAAAGTACTTTTGTTTACTAGTTTACATCATGATACTAAATTTTTAATTTTGGCTAAAATATTTTAAAGAATTTAAAAGTTTCCCTTTTCCTTGATTTTTTATTTACTTTTGTAAATAGATATATTTATAATGTTTTTATCATGTTAGAAAAGAAGTTTAAATAATTTAGTCAACGATTAATATCATCTTTAGTTGTAAAAATTTGATCTTGTTTTAGTTTTAATTTGGTCCTTAAAATTTGAAACAAGTGCTTTTGATTTTTAAAATTTAACTTTATTTTGATCTGTTTACAGATTTTTTGTTTATGGAACAGTTTTTTTTTTTTTGCTTCATGAAAGTATGAAATTTTAGAAACTAAAATTAAAATAAGATCAAATTTTAAAAACTAGAGATGATTAGAGCCGGGAATCAGGGCCGGCCCTTCAGAGCTGGTGGGCTTAAAAGGGCCGGCCCTCCAGGGCTGAAATTTTAAAAATATCCCAATTTGCTAGGCCCGGCCCTTAAGCTACAGGGCCAGGGCCGGCCCGCGGGCTTTTGGCCCGTTTAAAAAAAATATATTTTTTTATATTTATCATATTTTTTATAAAAATAAATCAATGAAATTATTAATAAAAGACATAAATATGAATAAAATTAAGTCTCATATAAAATATCATCATATATAAATATTCATCAACATCTAAGAACATCTAAAACATTCATTAACAAGATAACAACATCTAAAAGTTTTATCTATAATGCAATTATGCAATAAATAAACACTATTATTAATCTTTTGAAACTTCATCATCACTATAATTAATTAATTTTTTTTCATAAGTATACTTTTCTTTCGTAACAAAAATATCAAGTTTTTCTTCTTTATAAGAATTTTATTTTTAAATTTTGCAATCTAACTATTATTTTACTTTAATGTGAGAAACATTGCTGTTGAAACTCATGAATTTCTAATTCAAATTATAGAATCACAAGTTATATAAGTATAAAAATATTCTATTATCAAATATATATATAGTTTAAAAATATCAACGCATACAATATAAATCAAATCATTATTAAAGTCCAAATTAACCCATTTTTTAAAAATTTAATTGGATAAATTATTATCTAAAACTAAATTTACTTTTAAAATGATAATAATAACTAAATATTTGAAATATTATTAACAATGTAAAAAATTAATAACATTAATATTATATAAAAAATTTAAAAATAAAAAAATATAAAAGGGCTTAAAAGGGTCGGCCCGTAGCCCTCCAGGGCCGGCCCTCCATGGCTTATGTTTCATTTTAAGAGAAAAATATCAAGCCCGGCCCTCATAATTTCAGGGCCTAAAAGGGCCGGCCCGACGGGCTCGGCCCGTTTTCCCGGCTCTAGAGATGATATTTACCCTTTACTTAATGTATACATGAAAAAACTTGATTGAAAATTTGATTAATTTTTGAAAAAAAATATATGACTGACTGAGTATGTTTATAAGTGTTTGTAACTAAAGCTTTGTTAAAAAATTTATATTTTAAATTTAAATTGTTTATATAATCTCCCAATCTTGCATCATTTATAATTATAATATATGATGAAAAAATATGTGTTTGAAATATTTGTTAGCCATTAATTTGAAAAAAAAAACTCGATAAATAAGTTCCAATACATGTGATGAAAAATTAAAATTACAAAAATTTATAATATAATCAAAATTAACTTTACAACATATTAGAAAGCTTGAAAATATATATATTAAAGTTATTTTTTTTGTATAAAAAATATTTATTTGAAAAATATAATATAAATATTTAAATAATTTTTATGTTAAGCAGGTGTATTCTTGTCAAAACAAAATTTTAAGAGTCAAACTTTAAGAGAACTAACATTTAGATGAACGAAAATGGCATATCAATTATATAAGAAAGATTTGTATAACATATGATTTAATTTCAAAGAATGTTCGCACAATTTTAAAATAAATGAATGGTTTTTATAATTTAAGTCAAATAATTGTGTCTCCCGTACTCTCATGATCACAATGACGTGAAGGATGAGAGGGAGGGACGGGATGAACCACAGTTTAGTCACAAAATTAATGATAGAATATTTTGATGACAAGCATTTTAGTAATGACATTGAGAAATAGAAATTTATAATTTTGAGCATTTCCATTACCAAATACTTTATAATAGAATTAGTGATGGATTATTGATAGATTGTTTGACAGAATAATTATCTATGTTGTTAATTCTAATCATGAAACTAGTAACAGAATAAAATTGGGTCGCTAAATTATATTGTTAATTTATTGTTTTTTTAGTGATATTAAAGACGTTGATTTGGAAGCTCGTAATATCAATATTGTGAAATTCTATGCTTACTTCTTGACTCTTGTCCAAGTATTTCAAACTCTATGATAGGAAGGACCTTCTGCTTGCTTCTTGGTTTGACCCTAATAAAAAAGCAACATTATCCAAATGTCAGAGAAAAATTAAGGGAATGATAACCTAAATTGTAAAGACATAAAAATTTAGATAAGAATAAGAAAAATTTGAGAAAAATTTCCTTATTGAAAATCTTATTAGTGAGGAGGACCTGAATCAAAATATCAGATTACTGTTATGTGTGTTGCAAAGTCTTGATATTTTCTGTGTACAAAAATCTATCAAGTCCTTATCACTAGTAAAATTTTAATAGGAGACTTTTCTCTTACTCTTTATAAAAGCAATCATGTTTTTAATAGCAAGAAATGTTTCTAACCAATGGTGACTGAAGAAAATTGGTGCAGAAGAGAGCTAATTAAAGATGTAAAAATATTAATCGAAAAAGAAAGAAAATACATTTAGGAGGTTCTTTCCATTTTTAATTATCTAACGAAAAAATAAAACAATTTTGTCCCCAAAAAAAATACTATTGAAAACTTATCAGTGCTTTTTATTATTGTAATAAATGTAAAACAACTTCTACTTTTATTAACTTATTGTTTCTGTGCCTTTACTTTTGCAACTCAATGTCAAATTTATTTGTGTGCCTGGCGGCCAAGTCATGTTGCTTAACAGATTTTTTAACGGTGTTAACTCTTTTTAAATGGTTTTAAACAGTAGGGATTAGTAAAGCTAATTGTGTAAAATTAAAGGACTTGATAAAAAATTAAAAAAATGCAGGGACTTAATTCAAAATTCAAGTAAACTATAACGACTGGGAAACTAATTTTTCCCATATTATAAATCACGTTTTAACCGTCCAAAAATTACTTTGAGAAACTCAAAGAAACATGCTCTTTAATTGTTCAATTCAGATCTCAATGATTAAAAAAAATAAGCTGGCTTATTGACAATTTTTTTTAATTGCGATTTTTACTGCCTTTTTTCTTTTGGGTCTGACAGCCTTGCTTAAACCATTGATGATAAAAACATAAAAACATGCAAGTTATTGATTTATATGTTCCTATAGTGAGATAAATATAAAAAGTATAAAGAGCCGTATTGTTCACAAATAGTAGAAGATGCAGTTAAGTCTATAACATATATAAATACGCATAACCCACTTTAGTTTATAATTTAACAAAGCTATCGTAGAAGTTTCTATTAACCTGTAAATAGGAATTATTCAAGTATGCCTCACATGACCGATCAAGATCTAAGAAATAAAAGCAAGTTAAAACCAAAAAAAAAAAAAAAGGTTTAGGAGAGCATATGTGTAAAAGAGAATTCATAAGTATCATGGAGTTTAAATCCTTACCTCGTAGGTATTTCTATGCTGCAATGCTTCTGATATAAAAGCCTCTTCTTCTTCTCTCTCTCTCTTCTTTTTTTTGGTGGTTTGAGAAAAGGAACTACGAGAGAAGATTTCAACACAACTTCTTTTTTTTTTTTTTCCGTTTCTCTAAGTAAGAACGAGCTAAACAACAATAATGACAATAGACAAAGATAAGAATAAGAAAACAACTCAAATGTCAGAAAATAAAGCTTGGGAAAAAAACAAGTTCTTTCAATCGGCAAACTTTGAAACAAAAGCCAAAGCTCTTAGATTTCTTTTTCTTGCTTTGTTTTCTCTAAATGAGAAGGAGAAAAGCAACTCAACACAGAAGAGCAAGAGCATTGAAAGATTTTTATGATTAAAGAGAGAAATGAGAGCGAGAATAGAGGAAAAGCACAGAAATTACAGAGAGAAGAAACAAGAAGTATAATAAATAGTTACTAATGACTGATGAACATTTTTATTTACAGTCACATCAAC